GAATATACCCCTCTTGGGGTGCCTCGTTGGCTCAGTCAGTAGAGCATGAGGCTTTGATCTTGGAGTCATGCATTCGAGCCCCACGTTGGGTGGTAGAGTTTACTTAAAATATATATATATAGAATAGGAAATGAGAAGTAAATCAAACACAAGGCTGAAATGAAGGAATTGATAAATAAAACTATATAAGACATAAAGAAACAAATAGCAAAATGGCAGAAGTAAGTCCAGTAATTATAGTTTGAAGGGTTTAGGTGGAAGCAATGCAAGATAATGATGTTCCATTTGGCTTGTTCCATTTGTTTGAGGGTTTTGGGGGGGCTGAGGTGGAGGGGAATCAGGAAGGAAAGATCCAGTCATCATGTGGAGCACAGCATTGAAATCTGGTGATGTAGAATTGGGAGTCATCAGAATATTGATCAAAGGTTCTCAAATCTCGCTGTACCTTAGAATGAGCTGATAAGCTTTTAGAAAATATCCATGCTTGGGTCATAGTACCCCCATCCCCAACACTGACACTTAGGGACAACTCCCTGGGTGAACGTAATATGCGGCCAAGATTGAGTACCATCATTATAAGGTAACTGGAACTGTTGGGAATGGATATGATTTTCAGTGAGAGTGCAGAGATCAGGGGGACTGGAGAGGAAATTTCTACTTAGTGTGGAGAAAGGTTTAGATATCCACTGTCCAGTGTAGTAGCCACTAGCCACATGCAGTTATGTAAATTTAAATGAATTAAAATGAAATGAAATAAAAAAAATTCAGTGCTGCAGTTACACTAGTCCCAGGTGACTCATGACTACCATGCTGAACAGCACAGATACAGAACACTTTCATCATTACCGAAAGTTCTCTTGGACAGTGCTGGATCACCCAAATGCCTCCTCTACCTCCACAATGTCTACAATACAGAGGACTTTTTCAAATTCAGGGTAGAACAACATAGTATCTATGCTAAAATGTAGGTACTCTAGTTTGCATAATCATTTTCATGGCTATGGCCATGTGGTGTTTTTATTTTTGTAAGGTCTCCAAATCTTTATTAAACTTCTCTTTGATGTCCAGCAGAGTTATGTGGAACTGCTGGAAGCTGAATTAAATCGATGCTTTTCACTTTCACTAAAGTGAAGACATGAACAAAAAATATATATTTGTCTCCCTCAAGTCACTCAGCTGAATTGGGAAGTTTAACTCTGTTGCTCAACACTCATTATCACTTTGTCTGCATGATATTCCTTGAAGTAGTCAAGGGAAAGGCAGAATGGATGGCACTGATTACAGCAAATAATAGGCAGTGTAATTGGTTAAAAGTGTTGCATCTGATCATTAGTCTTGGGACTGGCTTTCATCCTAGATCCCACAGGCCATCAGAAATGAGTGTCTGTCTCCTTACTGTTACCTGTTCACTTTGGAATCTAACATGACATTGTTCACATAGGAGCTTACTGGCCAAACAATCCTTAAATGGGGCAGAAGGATTTCTTTAAGTTTATTTATCCCTTTTGGCCAGAACTGCCATCTCCCAGTAATTCACCAAAATGACTACCACAAAGGGAAAGAGGAGAGGTACCCACTATTTGTTCTCTATGCCTTTTAGAAAACATAGAGTTGTTCCTTTGGCCCCATACTTGCAAATCTACAAGAAAGGTGATGTTGTTGACATCAGAGGAAAGGGTGCTTTTCAAAACGGAATGCCCCACAAATGTTACCATGACCAAACTGGAGAGTCTACAACGTTACCCAGCATACCGTTGGCATTGTTGTAAACAAACAAGTTAAGGGCAAGATTCTTGCTTGAGAATTAATGTACGTATTGAGCATATTAAGGACTCAAAGAGCCGAGAGAGTTTTCTGAAGCATGTGAAGGGATCAGGAAAAAAGAAAGCCAAAGGGAAAGGTACTTGGATTCAACTGAAGTGCCAGCCTGCCCCACCCAGAGAAGCACATTTTGTGAGAACCAGTGGAAATGGCCTGAGCTGCTGGAACCCATTCCCTATGAATTCATGGCATGATAAGTGTAAAAAAATAAAAGACTGGGGCGCCTGGGTGGCTCAGTTGGTAAGGCGTCCGACTTCAGCTCAGGTCATGATCTCGTGGTTTGTGAGTTCGAGCCCCCCGTCGGGCTGTGTGCTGACAGTTCAGAGCCTGGAGCCTGCTTTGGATTCTGTGTCTCCCTCTCTCTCTGTCCCTCCCCTGCTCGTGCTCTGTCTCTCTCTCTCTCAAAAATAAATAAATGTTAAAAAAAAATAAACAAAAGACCTCAAAACTGTAATAAGGAAATAAATAAATGAAAGTTTATTTATGCTAATATTTAGGGAATATGAGTGAGGGGTACACAGAAGTTCTTTGTACTGTTCTTGTACCTTTTTATGTGTCTGAAATTATTTTAAAATAAAAAAATTACTTAAACCAGCAAATCATAAATTTTCATTAAAAAATCAAACAATTGGCTTAAAATAAAATTTTCCAGTCTTCCCCCCCATGCATTTTATTTTATTTATTTATTTTATTTTATTTTTTGTAATTTTTTTTCAACGTTTATTTATTTTTGGGACAGAGAGAGACAGAGCATGAACGGGGGAGGGGCAGAGAGAGAGGGAGACACAGAATCGGAAACAGGCTCCAGGCTCTGAGCCATCAGCCCAGAGCCTGACGCGGGGCTCGAACTCACGGACCGCGAGATCGTGACCTGGCTGAAGTCGGACGCTTAACCGACTGCGCCACCCAGGCGCCCCTCCCCCATGCATTTTAAATGAGTTCATCCTACATATACATTTTCTATTCAGTTTTCTTCACTTAATATTTTTTTAAAAGAATTTCCCACACGTTATTATTATCCCACACACTCTTTAAATCTTCTGCCTTTTCTGCCACCAATTTCCCTTATGTAGAAATGACTCTGCTAGGTGAGATTGAGGGTGTATGGATTCTGCCATCTTATGTTAAAATATCATGTTAAATGGCTATGTAATATTTTATTAGATCAGATCAGGTATATCAATGTACTTAACTGGTCTCCAATTTGGGGATGTTTAGGGTGTCTTCAATTTATCTCCATTGTTAAAAATGAAGCTGTGATATTTTTGTACATAATTTTTAAAAAATATTCAAGATAATTTTCTCAGTGTAGTTTCTAGGAGTCAAATTACTGGGTCAAAAACCAGGAGCATTTTTAAAGATATGTACTGCTGAATTTCTTTTAAAATGGTGCTATTTCCCAGTAGTAGCTTTTTTTTTTTAAATTTTTTTCAACATTTTTTATTTATTTTTGGGACAGAGAGAGACAGAGCATGAACGGGGGAGGGGCAGAGAGAGAGGGAGACACAGAATCGGAAACAGCCTCCAGGCTCCGAGCCATCAGCCCAGAGCCCGACGCGGGGCTCGAACTCACGGAGCGCGAGATCGTGACCTGGCTGAAGTCGGACGCTTAACCGACTGCGCCACCCAGGCGCCCCGTAGCTTTTTAAAGTAAAAGAAAACATCACAATTCCCAGAAATGGACAGAACAGAAATGGACCCCAGTTTTCTCATGTATAATGTATAGTTAATGATCCAAAGCCCCCTTTCTCTTATGTATTCTAAGATTCTGTGATTCTGCAACAAATGGGTAATGTGTCATGAATGAAGTACATTTTGGATGTTCCAACAGATCTTACCTTCATCTTGGGAGGGAGAAAGATTGGGGAATCCTTCAACTGATGCCCTGGAACTCTCTATAGTAACAGACACTAAGGGCTAACATGCACATTGTTCCAATCCTCTGCTTCAGAACAGGACTTTATAAAAATGGGCCCCAAATTTTACCTGTTAGTTTTTCTCATTTCTAAAGGAGGAAGAAGATCAGTGCCTTGAGCATAGCTGGCACTAATTAAAGTAGTAAAGATCAAGGTTAGCTGGAGTTTTAGGGAGGTGGTTAGGAAAGGAATGTAGAGGGGTAAACCCGAGCTGGATCTGAAAAACTGGGTGGGATTTAGATAGGCAGAGGGGAGAGCTGTGAAAGCACCTCTGTTATACGTGGGGTGGAGATGGAAGCTAAAGGTGGGACTTGGCAATGCCCTGGGTATGGCAGTATTTGGGAAGAGAGGGAGGTATGTAGATGTAGCTAAGCTGGGCCCATTTGTTGGAGGATATAGAACATTTGGTTGAGAAACTAGCTACATCTTGATCTTGGAGGCACTGGGGAATCACTCTAGGTTCTTAAACAGGATGTGATCAAGAAAGCTGTATATTATAAGATGACTTCTATGGCTGTGCCAGTGGTGAATTAGAGTAGAAGAGAATAGGACTTTTCCCATCAGATATTGGAGTCCCATCTGGAATGCCGTCAGATGGGAGAAGGGAAGAATGTTAGAGTTATTTCAAAGAAAGAGAAAGACAGAGCTTGGTAATCTGTACATTATAGGGGATGAGGTAGAGAAAGAACCTCCAGATGATATTCAACTTTAAGCCTGAGTGACTAAAACACAGGTAATGGTGCTATCCATGTAATTGAGAAAGACTCTTCACTAGGCTGGCTATTGGGGCCCTGATACCTTCAGGGGAAACTGAGTTTCTGTCCAACAGATTCTATTTCTTCATCACTTCAGTTTTACTTCAAAGATGCTTATTTTGCCTTCTTCTTGGTCTTCATCTGGCAGTGGCTCTTAACATTTTAACTTTCTTTCTCTGTCCCAGAGGATTCTGCCAAGTAATAATCGTAAATGCTTAAATGAACTCAAGAAGTTCTGCTGAGTATTCCCTTATAATGCAATCTCCTTCAATGTGACTGTTTTGTAACTTTCTCATTTTGCAAATTGGGATCCTCAAAACCAGGTCACCTTTGTGGGTACTATTGGTACTTTTGTAACAAGGATATATTTCCTGCAAAGTTGGTTAGTTCACCTCCCTTCCTTACTCAATAACACACAAGATTAGGACTTGCAATGTTACAATTGTACACTTCCAGAACAAAAGTTAAAAATTTGTCTGGGGACTTACCTGGAAACAATGGTACATACCTGTATGTGTAAAATGGTGCAGTTTGAAGAATAGTGTCCTGGGAATTAGGAGACTTGGATTCTAGTGTCAGCTCTCCTGCTAATTGAAGTATGAACTTGAACTAGTCACATTTACCTCTTCTCTATGTCTGTTTCCTTTTCTGTGAAATGAGAAAGATAGAAATGATGATTGTAAGATCAACGCCAGCCCTAAAACTGGCTATTTATTAAAACAAAGTTTGCACAGTATTAGTAACATTCATGATACTCAGAGACCATGGGGTTAGATAGAGCACCAAGTGAGGGCCACATTTATTGGTTAGCCAATGTGTTTACTCCCTAAAGACAAGCAAAACAGGATGATTCAGGTTGAGAGAAATGAAGTTTGAGACTCAGTTACTGGTTTGGATCGTTTTTATGCATAAAATAAACTATATCATTCAGACTGGATCACCATTCCCTTTCACATTGGAATCAGTCCAACATTATATGCCTGTTCTCCTAAGGTAGAATAGAACAGGACACAAAGAGGGGATTGCTCTGATTTTCTGAGGCCTGTCTACAGCCTCTGGAGTGCTGATTCCCAGAAATAGCAGTCATACTGCACAGAGCCATCTTAAAGAATCCCAGTAATTTTATCATAAGGGAGGAGACCAGCCCAAGATCTTTCCTCTAATAGAGATTCCAAGGAGTAGGTTGTTAGAAAAGAGGCTCTTACTTCATCGTGCCTCGTCTAAGAGTTAAGACTATTGCCAGAGTATCTCTATTGCCTGCTAATGATCCCCTATGAATCTGTTATTCACCAGTTAACATTGGTGCTTCTGAATCTGGATAGCAGATCACCTGGAAGTCAGAATGCTCTCTGTGGATCCTATAAAATATTGCTATAAGTATATTCCGACTTCTTTAAGCTTTTGCATCTATTACCTCAATATGCACTGGGCACCATGTAAATAGAGGGGCATACTAACACATACAAAAGCTCTGTTCAGCCAATTTTTCATCTTTCAACTCAATCCAACCCTGTTCTCTCATGTGGTCTATTCTCCCTGCTACCTATCCTATCCACACCTTGCTCTCTGGATTAAATGCTGATGTGAACTGTGTTCTTCTTGGCTTCAAACTTTGGCTTCTGTTCATATTTTCCTGCCTCCAAGACTGCCTTAAGTTGCAATTGCCTTGTCTTGCATCCCCACTACTTTCTTTTGTGGGCAACTGATTCTTACAAGTGGGATTGAGACAGTATGTTTCAGACCATCGTATGACTACAGGGTATTTTTACTAGCAGTTTAAAATACAGACACAAGTATGTGACCACAAATGAAGAAAAGCCAGCCATTGGTGACACCCGATGTGCTTGTCCTAGGTGTTCTTTGGCCACCGGTTCATTTGTTTTGCTGTCTGCTACAGTCACTAAATGATTTAAGAGGAATCTGGGAGTGAAAACCTGAAATGGAGAAAATTTTCCCCATGAACCAAAATTGTGTTTGCAAATTAAGAAATGCCTGCCACGGATTGATTTTGGTGGCAGAATCCCTTGATTCAACCTGAATAACACCAGTGATGTGTGGAACTGTAATTTGATGAATACCATTGAACAGAACATCTTAAGTGTTATTTAATATAATTAGTCATCCTGTACTACTACTTACAGTAAGCAGTTCTGTAGGTTATGTTAACTTACTGTACAATGTGGGACTTTTGTTTATCCTCAAATTTCCTCAAATACTAGCATCTTAGGATACGAGTAGCTTATTAAAAATGTTCCTCTTGGCCATTGTCTCTCCCAGATGAAATATGTCTTGAGTCAGGAGGCTTTTAGGCTCTCTCTATGGTTTAGTGGTCCCTAATATTTATTTGATTACAAAGTTTTTTTTTAGATACATCATCTCATTAAATTAGTTTACTTATCCTTGCCTACCTCACTGAGTTGCTATCATTTACTTCTTAAAATATAGTTAACCCTGGAAGAATGCAAGGGTTAGGGGTGCTGACCCCCTGTGCATTCAAAAATCCATGTATAATTTTTGGCTCTCCCAGAACTTAACTACTATTAGCCTACTGTTGACCAGAAACCTTACCAATAACATAAACAGTCAATTAACACATATTTTGTATGTTATATGTATTATATACTGTGTTCTCACAATAAAGTCAGCTTAGGAAAACACTATCAGGCCACACTGGAAAACAGTATGGAGGTTTCTCAAAAAGTGAAAAGTAGAACTGCCCTATGATTCAGCAATTGCACTACTAGGAATTTACCCAAAGGATACAAAATACTGATTCAAGGGGCACATGCACCCTGATGTTTACGGCCGCATTTTCAACAATAGCCAAATTATGGAAAGAGCCCAAATGTCCCCCGACTAACGAATGGATAAAGAGAGTTGGGGTGTGTGTGTGTGTGTGTGTGTGTGTGTGTGTGTGTAAATGGAATATTACTCAGCCATCAAAAAGAATGAAATCTTGCCATTTGCAATGACGTGGACGCAGCTAGAATGTAATTATGCTAAGTGAAATAAGTTAGAGAAAGACAACTACCATGTGATTTCACTCAAAGAAACGAAACAGATGAATATAGGGGAAGAGAAAAGAGAAGAGAGGGAAGTAAACCAGAAGAGACTCTTAACTATAGAGAACAAACTGAAGGTTGATGGAGAGGAGGTGGGGGGATGGGCTAAATGGGTGATGGGTATTAAGGAGGGCACTTGTTGGTGGGGCGCCTGAGTGGCTCAGTCGGTTAAGCGTCCAACTTCCGCTCGGGTCATGATCTCACAGTTCTTGAGTTCGAGCCCCGCGTCGGGCTCTATGCTGACAGCTCGGAAACTGGAACCTGCTTCGGATTTTGTGTCTCCCTCTCTCTCTCTCCCCCCCCCCCCCCGCACTCTGTCTCTCTCTGTCACTCTCTCTCTCACAAATAAATAAACATTAAAAATTATTATTAAAAAGAAAAGGAGGGCACTTGCTGGGATGAGCCCTGGGTGTTGTATGTAAGTGATGAATCACTAAATTCTACTCCTGACACCAATATTACACTATATGTTAACTAACTTGAATTTATTATTATTTTTTTTTCAACGTTTATTTCTTTTTGGGACAGAGAGAGACAGAGCGTGAACGGGGGAGGGGCAGAGAGAGAGGGAGACACAGAATTGGAAACAGGCTCCAGGCTCTGAGCCATCAGCCCAGAGCCCGACGCGGGGCTCGAACTCACGGACCGCGAGATCGTGACCTGGCTGAAGTCGGACGCTTAACCGACTGCGCCACCCAGACGCCCCAACTAACTTGAATTTAAATAAAAATTTGAAACAAAATAAAAATTAAAAAGTAAGAGTAAATTAAAAAAATTGTTTTGTTCTAAAATTGTTTTAATATGATTGAGATTGTTTACAAACGTGGACAGTTCTCCTTATCAGGTTATCTTTCTAGGATTTGATTTGCTATCACATGACATATTTTGTAAATCAAAAATTAATCTTTATTATAATAACTCACTTTTTAATAAAAAAGGAAAAAGAAAATGCTATGAAAATCCTAAGGAAGAGAAAATATATTTACAGTACGGTACAATATTGGAAAAAAAAGCCACATATAAATGGACCCGTGCAGTTGAAGCCCACGTTGTTCAAGAGTCAACTATAGATGAATATTTTCAGCATCACAGAACTGAAGAGTTTTCTATACCATCCAGGGACTAGTAAGTGGCAGAGTCAGAATTATAACCCAAGTCTTCTAATTCCATGTTCTGGGCTTTTTCCACCTGGTCCATTCAGTGTAAAATGGAAAATTGAGGAATACTCTGTGAAATACAGTGATTAAAGTGATCCCAGGGCTGCACTGCACATTGTATTGGAAGACAGAGTCACCACGTTTCAGCTGAGCTCCGGAGAGACTTCTGCCCTTGGACACTTTACCAAGTTGAACTATGCTTATAATCCTTTTAAGTGTCAGCAACCTTCCTCACTGATATGGACTAAATTATATTCCCCCAAATTCACACACTGAAGCCCTAACTTCCAGTTAGGATTGTATTTAGAGTAGGAAAGTAATTCAGGTTAAATGAGGTCCGGAGGGTGGGGCCCTGATAGGATTAGTGCCCATATAAGAAGAGACATCAAGGAGCTCAGTCATTCTCTGCACCATGTCAAGACATACTGCCTACAACCAAGAAGAAACCAAATCAGCCAGAACCTTGATCTTGGACTTCCCAGCCTCCGGATCTTTGAGACATACATTTCTGTTGTTTAAAGCCACTGAGTCTGTAGATGTTATGGCAGCGGGCACAGACTAAGACATCCAATTTAGGTTTCTTCTTACCTTGGAAAAAATTAAAAAGTCTTTTGGACTTTTTGGATTTGACAGTCCAACAGTTGCATACATGGGACAGGTCGATTATAATTATTTCTTTCTGAGGTGATACATTTAAATTAATAGAATCCACTCGTAGTAGGCATTGAGAGGTTGCCCTGGATTTGGAGTTAGAAGGAACTGAGTGGCTTTATTAAATGACTTGGTGTGGGGTAGTAACTTTTTTTTTTTTCTTTTCTTTTCTTTTCTTTTTCCTTTTTTTTACTAGGGGAGGGAGTCAGTAGCGTTCTACTTAAACGCTTGAAACTCAGTTTAGGGGGACCAGTAATTTGCACTGACTGCTTGGTGGACTGGCCTACAGCTTTGTATACAAATTGCAAAATTTTTAATATTTATTTATTTTTGAGAGAGAGAGCATGCACGCGCATGGGAGTGGGGGAGGGGCAGAGACACGGGGAGAGAGTCCCAAGCAGGCTCCACACTGTCAGTGCAGAGCCTGACACAGGGCTTTATCCCATGGACCATGAGATCCTGACCTGAGCCGATACCAAGAATCAGACGCTTAACTCACTGGGCCACCCAAGCATCTTGATCTGGCTCTTAATACGCTTTTTATTCAAAGGTGTTAAAGATGTTATATACATTCTATGTATTTATTATATATTATTATACATCACCCATTTGTAATTTTGATGTTTTTTTACATTTATTTATTTTTGAGAGACAGAGTGAGACAATGCACGAGTGGGGGAGGGGCAGAGACAGAAGGAGACACAATCCCAAGCAGGCTCCAGGCTCCAACCCATGAACCATGAGATCATGACCTGAGCTGAAGTCAGACACTCAACTG